TACGAGTAGGTGACAAGAGAGAAGCTGGTGGAGAGAAGGGCGAAGAGCGAGAAGGTGGTGGAGGAGGGGGAGAAGCGAGGCGACGGAGGAGGGGGAGAAGTTCAAGCTGGAGAAAGAGAAGGCGGGGGAGATCGGGAGAAGGGGCTGGTGGCTGACGAAGGACCATTGTACTCTCGACAGCTCTGCTATTCGCCATATGAGCAACACATTACATTCCCTCTCTAGTGGGGGCCACCAACACAACTTCTCACACTCTCTATCCCAATTACTACACGTTACATTCACTCTCTAGTGGGGGCCGCCAGCCTAACTTCTCACACTCTCATCGAATGACTACACGTTACATTCCCTCGCCACCGCCGGCTAAAAGAATGACTTTTTTTTATTAGCCTGCGACGAGCTCCCCTGGTGTCCCTGTTTTTTGTAGACCCCATTTTGTATGAAAAAGAGCTCTCGTAATTTTGTTTTAGGCGGGAGCTATTTTAAGCTTGGCAATACTAAACGTTTTCATCAGGCATATTTGTGGGTAAAATTCATAATTTATCAATGCACTGAACTCCTAATAATAGTCCTCATGAATGGTGTCCTATATCTTAAAGGTGTTTCTCCAACACAAGAGTCAAAGATCTAGCTTGGCGAAATCGCAGGTCACAAATTATTCCTAACTCAGTGACACAAATCACGAGAGCCTGGGGTTTGACATGTTGCGGTATGCATGTTGTGTCACCGAAAGTATGACTCCACTGCATCCGATTGGTCTCAATTCGGCGATGGTTTTTGTAATTCAAATTCTCGTTTCATGTATCTAGCAAACCCCAGTTACAAGTAAAAATAACATTGCTGCCCGAACAGGGAAGTGCAATTGCAAGCCTAACCTGCCCGGGCAACGTAATTGGTGGGTTCGCCCGCGGGCCCGATAGAGGACGCGCGTATGTGACGCCTCGGTCCCTGGCACACACCGAAGTTCGACCCAGCTGCAGCAGGGTTGCGAATTTTCGGCTGAAAAAGTTCTCAGTGACAGCAAGGGACCACGCACTTCAGAATAGTTGGTGAACCTGCAGCAAAGACACTTAATTGGTGGTCCCAGCTTAGTTTAGCTAGCAGTGAGTAACAAAATGTAGATAAAGATAAACCATTGGAATTAAACAGGCCGCCGCCCGCCGCGGAGCAACCCCCCCCGCCGAGATAACCGATTGGGAATTAAAACAGCCCACGCCTTGACACACCCACCCCGCCTCTTTTCCCTCTACCCCACCCCTCTTCCCTTCCGCCTCCGCCTGACCCGCGCTCCCTCCCCCTTCACCACCGCTCACGTGGCCCCCAGGGCCAACCTCCACGCCCAACAGGTTCACCAGTAGCCAGATACAGCACATCCCGGGAACCCCTTCCGCTCTGAACTTGCCTTCCAAATCGGGTTGCGCGCCCAGACTACTGCTTGCCACGCGGCCCTATGATCTCGAGAAGCTGTCATTGTGCCTCCATCCCATAACCTCTTCGCCTCAACCCTCAACCAAATCTTTCACCCCTTGCTGGTCCGCGCGCGCGCGCCCCTTGAAAGCACACGGGTACTCTGCATCTCAATGCCATTGGAACTGGGCCTGCCCCGCCCTACTGGCACATAGGAATCTTTGCTTGCTTGTGTCACCCCCGCCTAAACCCCCGCGCGCCGGATCTCTCTCCCACGCGCCCCTCTCGGGCACGCTCGACCCATCCCAGGCGCATTACCCCTCGGCAAACTTTCGATTGTATAACTGATCGCCCATTTAGATACGACCTATAAGAATCGCATTAATTATGACAAGGAGTAAATGACGACAAATAGTGTCTTCACGATTAACCCTTCCTCTATAGGCAAGGTTAATTATCTTTGATGTATTACTATAATTAGAGTGGTCAACAATACATGTTTCAGTCGTCTTAGATTCTATCGGGGGACGCGTCTGGTAAGGTTTTAACGTTACGTTTTTCTCTCCGCCAGTCCACGGTCCAGGCTCCATGGCACTAGATCTCATCAATGCGCCAGGTAAGGCACATCCTACAAAGTGTATCAAGTGCCCTGTTAGAATCTTCCAGTTATGGACTCCAGTTTACAGTTCGGCGACTATCTAGCCTCTGTATAATAACAAACAGTTCTATCTTCCTAGACGTGACGCTCAGAGAAACCAGCTTCTGATTACGTGCGGCAGGTTCATCCGGCGTCGCCCTATACCTTCTCCACAATAAGCCCCTGCGATACTACGTAAACTGTATGTTGACCGCTTCGCCCGCTCCTGCCGTTTAGGCATAAGACAGTTCGTGATTATCCATTAGACCATGTTGCGAATTTTGCTGTATGCGTTCGTCAGCGAATCATGCGTGAGGGAGTGCTCCATGCAGAAGCTCCTGAAGATGGTGTTCTGAATAGCCTAGGCTGGTCTACGTTGTAGAAAGTCGGGTCGGAATCGCTGCCAGCGGGCCGAGCCGATTTTTCTCGTACTCCACATTCAGCCGTTCCTCTCGTAATTGTTGTTATACCGCTTTCCTCCGCAAGGCGAGGAGCAGCGCTCCCTTGAAACTGACGGAGCGAAAGTGCCGCTCTGCTGCTCCCTCGCCCGTGCCGTATTTGTTGTCGCTGGTATGATCCGCTGGCTATAATAGGTTGGAGGCCCTCCACCTCCAACCGCGACCACACCCACTCCTCTTCACACTGCTAATCTCAACTTCCCACCGACCAATCACTACAACACACTCACCATCCTCCATCGTGTGCACAGCTACGGGTGCACTCGCCGGACCGTTGCCGACGGCCGTGTAGCAGAGCACGGTGATCGTGTAGTCGGTATACTTGCTCAGCGCGTCGACGACCTCCTCATGCATAGCGTCCGGGTACGGGCTCGGCGCCACGCTAATGACACGCGCCGGCGCCGACGACGAATCGCGAAGCCATGCCTCCACCTGTGTCGTGGCAACGGGAGAGAGAGATGCACGCATACCGTCTTAGTTTCTGTTTAGTTATTTATTCTGTGAGCCGAGTTATTTATGTATTCATTGATTCCCTTGTGTTTATTTATTTACGTATTCCCTTGTTTATTTAGTGATGTATTCACGCATGCGTTTATTTACTCATTTATTTATCATTTATTCATGCATTCTCTTATTCATTCATTCATGAACTGGCACAACTTTTATTCTCATGATTTCTGAGTATGTCGAGCTATCCTCACGTACCTTGTAGCCAAGAGCAACACCGTTGACAGACTGAGAGTTGATTGCCTTCCACGTGACGTTGACAGTCGTGGATGAGCCGGCGACTGCAGTCACCCTGGACGGCTGCTCAGTCGGCACTGTCAGGAAACAAACACACAAACATCACCATGCCGAAAACATCCTATTTATCAACCGTATAACATTTATATACAGTATCAAACCGCAACAACACAGTGAGACTGGCACGCCACTGTGCTACTCCTAATACCATAGCACCAGTACGAACATTCTTGTCCCGCCTTCCAGTGGGTGCCATTCCATCAAGACATACTCGCTACCCTCCAAATGGCGCTGCTACATCACTCAGTTCCTTCCAAGGGGTGCTACTACACTGTAGCATATGCGCTGCGCTACAGGTGGTGCTGCTAGATCGTGACATACTCAGTGCCCCCTAGGGGGCGCCGCTACATCAGGGCGGACTCACCTCCCTCCAGGGTGCGCTCGGTGATGCTGTTGCTGTAGACGCCGATGCCGATGTTGTTGTAGGCGGCCATCTGCAGCTCGTAGTCCTGCCAGACGATGAGGTCCCTCAGCCGGTAGTTACGCTGTGCCTTGTTCGTGATGTTGACTTGTTGCCACGGCACCGAGTTCGCATAGCCAGCAAGCCTGCAAAACACAAGAGCATCGTGAACGAGAGTTTTTATGGGCTTCATTATGGCTTTCATCTTTCATGCGCGCTGCCTAAGTATGATGATATCTGCTATTTATGCTCCATGGTGCTTACTTTGCCACAATCTGAGTTTCTCAAAAACGTTTGCACGTGCGCCAATTCCACGGTGTCCACCTGGTACATTTATATTTTAGAGGAGACAGTGGGAATGTGTTGCACTGTCAGCCATAATCTCTGACTCAAGCTAAGAAACAAGGTATTTCAGCATGCACAGAACATCATCATCCAATCAAATTAGATCAACAACTTCACCATTAGATACTGTTGCTAGGTTGGTCAAGCTAACCCCGTATGTATGTGACAAATGCCAAAATTTATTTAGCAGTGCGTCATTACTTAGCATTGTTTTTAGAATGCCGTATAGCAACACTGGATAGAGCCTTCTGGTAGACGAACGGGTAAAATTATTCATGGTACACACACGGAACACTTATTGCGTGTAAGATGCATACACAGAGAGAATGAATAACACACAGCTCACGCACTGCGAGCGTGATGCACTCACGTAGAAACTGAATACATATGGACATGTGCAGAGTGCTTCACCCGCAGACAGTGGAGGAAGATTAGAGGGTGAAGTGTGGATACCTGTATCGGATTATGTAGCCGAGGAGAACACCGTTCCACTCCTCCGATGGAGGCTGCTGCCACTGCACCATGATGGCAGTCTGTGAGCTGGCGCTAGCACTCACGCCGACAGGCGGCAGGCCTGGGGGCTCCTACGATTACACGCAGATAACGACGACGATGAATTCACGCATACATGTACACAGATGCTATTAAACACGCTTATATGCAGATACCGACGATAACTTCTCATGTATATCTAAACATATTATGTGGTATAATACAAGATGATACACAGATACCAATGATTAATTCACAGGTACATATATATATATATATATATATATATATATATATATATATATATATATATATATATATATATATACATATACATATATATATATATATAAACATACATATATAAAGCTATCTGCATATGGTAACATTTGAATAGAAACTAGAAAATCAATAGAAAGTAAGCTACATAGCATGGCTAGGTGACCAAGTGACAAAAAAATTTGTAACTACCACCATTGCAGAAACAGTGACGTCTGGTATGTACTCTATCACATCGTGACTCAGTATAGTACTATCAGAGCGACATTCAAGTTAAATGAGTTTTCACTCGGTAGATGGCGCCACCTCTACACGCAGGCCCAACACCTGTTGCTCCTAAGCGTGCACGGACTGCAATAACGTTCTCAGCCGTCATTAGACACGCATTACACGCACCTGGGGCAGCGTGATGATGGAGCTAGGATCGCTGAATCTTCCCTCACCGACGCCGTTCCTCGCGGCAACGCGAAACTGATAGCTCGTGGCTGCCTTGAGGTTGCCGACCAGCAGCCAGGGCTGGTCTGCGGGAACGCTGGGCTCCTCCACCTTCCAATCGAGCGCCGGTCCTTTTACGTAATAATAACCGGAGAAGCCGATCAAGATGATGACGATGGATTTTGATCTACTGCATGACTATGAATTCACAGTTTCCACCTCTCATCTATTGACAAATTATATCTGGTGTGATACATATAATACACCGACCTTTCTATCATGTTACTCCCGATTATGTTAATAACTTATAATACATTTATATCACATTATACATTTATTTAGTTGCAATATAATATATGCTAAATCCAACATTGCACAAATAAATTTCCTTACTCTTGGTCTCAATTATGAGACTAAAATCACTTTTATACTAAAAATATCTATGAATTCGTGACGTACGTTCGCGTCCGAACCTCAGGTGCTGCACGTCTATCAACTGCGTGGACTAATGACGCGCACGCTCGCTAGTGATGGCTAGTGACTCACCCTGCGTCGATACGTGCCGGCTCTGCACGAGGTATGACTCTATGGGGCTGTTGCCGTCGTGACCGGGCGCCCAGCTGACGTTGACACTGCGCTTGGACTTCGTCATGATGACGACATCCAGGATGTGCGGGGGGAAGGGCAACTCTGTACGTCCGAAGGGTACACCATTAATTAATAACTCACATAATTACATTAATTAACATAATAAATACATTACCTGCTTTCACGTTATCTGCAATATATCTAAGGACCAGTATTACATAGACCAGGGTATCTATAACAGTAAGAAGTTACTTAGAACGCAGCGATTATAATTATCAGAGGAATGGTACAGTTTCAACACACTACTTCTCTAAGAAGGGGTCAACTACCTATAATCAAGTGGAACTTGTAAGTAGAACTTGTAAGCAAAACTTGTAAGTAAAATTTGCGACTGAGGGAAACTTGATCAAGGGGAGCTGACAATAGACCAAAAATAGAACCTACAAATCAACAAAAGGAACCTACGACCGAATGGACTATACAATCTCATGAGACGAACCTATGAGAGAGGCAAACCTGTGATAGAGGGGAACCTACGAACAATGGGAACCTACTATAGATAGGAAACTACGATCAATGAGAACCTACTATAGATAGGAAACTACGATCAATGAGAACCTACTATAGATAGGAACCTACGATAGAAAGGAACCTACGATCGATGGGAACCTACGATAGAAGAGGAACCTATGATTGATGGGAATCTACGATCAATGGGAACCTACAATCAATGAGAACCTACGATGGAGAAGAACCTACGATCGATGGGA